GCTAACAGATGATTAAATGCTAGACGAGGTGTTGTAGATAGTATCAGGTCTACAGTGATGTGCAGTAGACAAAATGAGGAAAGGGGCAGCTTCTTATGGGTCTGGATTTTTATTGTTCTCTTCTTTGAATGTTCTTTCACTTTTTCTTCCTTACTCCTGCGTCCAGAACACAGAAAGCAGTTTCCCCCAATTTAACATCCAGATCAAGCAGTAATATCATGAGTGTCACACTTTGCTACACACACTGTATATACCTCATACCTGCAAAAGTAATTGTCATTTAAATGTTAATAACATCATCATTTCCTGTCACCCAAGTGGGGCCCGCAGTACTTACATCTTCAGATTTTCCATTTTCTGCGATAACTCCTCTTTTATAAAATGGAGGAGCCAAACCAAGTCACTTATTTGTGCTTTTGAGAAGACCTTAAAAGCATCATCTCTGTTCAAAGGTGCCCTTCAGACACCTACTGGCATAATTTCTCCATTTCAGATCCTAAGAACATTACTGGCCTTTCCACATTATGAGGTGCAGGTGTTCCCTTTATACCCTTCTGCATGTATTTAGGACTGCCACCAAAATATCAGGTCAAAGACTGGGCTTTTCTCTTAATGGCTTCTTTTCCAGACCCTTTGTCATAGCCCTTTTTCAAATCTGGAATTACTGAAAGTTATGTTTAAGGAGGGAGAAGGGAAAGGAGGGAAGACCCTGTTGGGTTTTCAAAACTGTGCCAAGAACACTACAAATACTTCAGCAGCAAACTGCTCTGTGTGAGCTGTACATTGTTTCCCCCATATCCTCTGCTTCTTCTAACTAAATATCCTCACTGGGAATGTTTTCCTATGGGGTGTTATAGCTGAGAAATGCCCTGTGTCCAAAACGCACCAGTGCTACCCACCTTGCTGGTAGGAAGGCAGTGCCTCACCCATGGCCCTCAGGATTGGCCATAAAAGACAGATTAGTTCAGTAAGTGCAGTAGTTCCTTCCTTGGACTCAGAGAAGGGAGTGAGAACAGGAAACAATCACTGAAATGCTCTTTTTTTTTTTTTTAATTAAATGTTGACATGTTTTGACATTAAAGCCTATATTAATATGCAAATGTCATCAGTATTTACTGCAGCAGAAACAACCATTCCCACATGAGTAGGAAAATACCACAAACAGAAAATTACTCACAGTTCCCTTCCTTTTGTTCATAGACCTGACCTCAAGTGAGTGTGAAAGGCTCAAAAAACAATGCAGTGAAGACTAGGAGGGTGCAATACACTACAGGGTGACTGAACATGTCAGAAAATAAGTTCTTCTCTAACTCTAGATCTTAAACAGCCAGTCAGTATTTCTTACAAACATAACATGGATATCCTTCAACCTACTCCGAGATATTCACTTGTCTTAATCCACAGAGAACAGTTCCATCAAAGTGGTTTCAGTATATATGAATTTAAAGTATTAGCTATCTATGTGAATACTAAAACCAGATTCTTTATTATCAACTAATTATTTATTACCCAGGAATGTAGTGGAAGAAGGTTAACTCATGACTGGTGGATCTACACCAAGCATATCCCATCAAAGCCTCAAATCCTCACAAAGAAGCACCTTCTTCATGCTCCTGGTGGCCTAACCCTTCAGCCCTTGCTGTCGATCCCTGTTTTGTTTGGAATAACATGAGTTAGAACTTGAATTTCCCACTGTTCTTTCAGGGGCTATCTGAGATGCCTGCACGTGTTCTGTTCTGCTGAGCCGTGCGATCCCAGATGTGCCAATCCCGGTGCTTCTCGTGGAGTTTCGGGGAGCTGAGAGGCATCGAGTCAGCGCTCAGGTGGTTGCCATCCACCGAGGAGGAGGTGGGGACTGGCAGTTCAGCAGCTGGCACGGAGCACTCTCCGAGTTGTTCAGTCGAAGCTCCAGCTGCGAGAAGCAGCCACTGCGCTGGAGGTGTCGTTATTGTTTGTGAAATCATCGCTAATTAAGGTGAGATCTCACTGTGCTGGTGTTCAGCAAACACGGGAAGGAATGGACCTTTCCCTGACGAGTTCATCATTCAAACAGAGTACACAAGCAAGCACAGAGGATGATGGAAAGTGTAAAAGGTATATTTTAATGTTTCTTAAAACTTTGTTAGCCCAGAATCCCCCCCCTGCAGTCTCTCTGATCAGTTGATTAATCTCCTGAGCAACACAACTGTGAGCAACGTGCCTTTTCCTCTGGTTCACTCAAACAACGGTGACATATGTATTGACAGGCTCAGAGATGCTCCACCAAGTTCAAATCAGATTTCAATATCTGCCTTTCAAAGTTACATCCACTTCAGAAACTGCCTCTCTCTTCTTCCACCAGGGGGAAACAGTTGCCCGGGGTTCGTGGCTCTGATTCACGAGAGAGTTTTACCTGGCTGGAACCTGCACATTCCCTCAGTCGATTTCTGGAGCATTACTTTTCTCTTTCTTGACAAATATATTCAGTTCGCCTCAATTTTTGCACTGGTTATTCTACAATCCCCGAGAAATCACAGTTCTGTGCTTCTGATTACGGTGGACAATGTAATTTTATTTTCAACCTGAATTCAAGCAGTGGTCCTGGGGGTGACGTATTGTTGAAATTAATATCTAACTCTGCATATCACTGAGCAGTTTGCTATATATGCAGCTAAAGAAGCAGAAAATACTTCTAAAATTAAAAATAAAGCTTCTTATCTGCTGTTTGAAACCTAATCACTCTGCAGTCGATGGTGGAAGTGTCCCGAGGCACTGACCAGCACTGAGGTCTGTCTCTGAAACCCTAACAGAAAGAAAAGCAATCTCCCAACACCTTGGAGCCCCAACACCTCATCCTGCCAGGATCTCTTCTCCAGGAGATCTCTGCCCTTTGTGTTGAATTCTTATTGAGGGGTAGGAAATTTTGTAGGGGACCAGCAGACTTTTGAGTTGTCTTCTGAAGCATTAACACCAGAGCAAAACTTCTGTCTTTTCTCTCCATGCCCCAGTGGAGAAAGCTTTAGTAAAAACGCTGCATGACAAATGCTCTTCCCAGTGTTCAATGCATCATGGAATACCACTTGGAACTTCGTGGCAGTGGATGTGCTCTGTCAACCGTACACATTACCATAATAATCACAGGAATCTGTAAAACCACAGTGGCTGAACAGAAATCAAACATATAGAAGGTTAAGCTCCTTAGACAAAAATAATGTTCTTGATTGAAAATATGGCTCTACCCCCGCCTTCGATGGGAGACAGCATTTCATGTGTTCCATCTCAGTGGAAGACAGAGCTTTTAAGGTTGATTGACATCCAATTTATGCACCTCAGCAATCGTACCTACTGATCAACACTGAGTAGGAGTAACAAAGTTTTACTTGTGATTTCAGCTGGAAAGCTCAAAGCTATGAAGTACAACAGATTACATTTAGTACCTTAATGTAACGACCCGATAATGTGAAATTCTCAAGTAATGCCAGTTGGTGACAGTATGTTACACTATGTGTGCTTATGTACACCAGGATTTTGTATTTTGGCTTGGCACTATTTTGGCTTCCCATCTCTTTTTTTTTTTTTTTACCCCCAAGGTGTTGGCTGTGACATACCTACAAATACGGTTTTTAACCCTATTGGATTTCTTCACTGAAAAGTGACATCACTGCTGTGTCCTAAAGACATACAGACCACAAAGGAAGAAGCAGAATATTCATATACTTCATTCTACTCTTGAATCTCACCCTCAAGCATGAAGAGGTGTCTTGTTGCATTGTCAGAAATACCTCAGCTTTTGCAACTCAGCTCTGAGAGCCTGGCTGTCTCTGAGGGAACACACATTTCATAACTTAGATGTGGTACCAGAGTTCCTGTGAAATCCAGACTGACTTGACAAGCCAAGGTAAAAAATTAGCCATTCCTCTGATCACGGGTCAATTTATCTTATAGAGATAAATCAAACCGTGGTATTTACATGCTCAGAACAAGTAATGCAGTATGAGGCACTGTTCCACCAACCTACGACCTGCAAATGAGAAACCTTATTATATTATGGCTATAAAACTGGCATCAATTGTATACAATTACTGCACATACATATTAACAGCTTCAAAATGTGGATTCACATCCCTACTCCTTCCTTAAAACCATAGCATCAATCTAGCCATATATCAGTTTTAGCCTCTTTCAATTATTTTAGCATAGCCTCAGAATTATATTTGGCATCTCTATCTGGCACATACAATAACTGCCAGCAACAGTAACCATTTCTGCATTGAGGTCACCGAGTGTATCGACTGCTGTAAGAAGTCTGGAGAGCGCAGGACAGTGCCTGACTCAAAAAGTCAAGGGAAATAGGAAAAATATAACCCAGAAATTGTCGGAGCTCTCAGCTGCATTTGAGGTGTAGTGTTCAGATCTCAGCGCAGCTTGCCCTCTCCTAACCCCTCCTTATCTTCCCCTCCTCCCCGCCACACACACACACACACACACAGAATCACTAGAAATGATCCTTTCAGTTAACAAAAGCCTCTGCCCGTCCCTTTCCCTGCAAGGAACAAGACCTAATCCAACTATCCCGTCCCACAGGAAAAGCTGTTATTTGTGCTCCAGCCAGGCAGACCGGGGGGTGATGGCAGCCCCCGCTGCCTCAGGGAAAGGCAGGAAACCCGAGCATCCCCTCCTCACAGAGGAGCCTCTGTTCGAGAGAGCGGCTAAGGAGAGATGCGGCAGACAAAGAGAAGCGCCGGGCTGTTCCCCGCTCCCGGCAGCGCCGGGCACAGGGCAGATTCCCGCTGTCGGGAATTTCACGTCGCCCGTGCGCGGCTCGGGCAGGCGGGGGGACCCCCCGCGCCACTGCAGCAGGTGAGGCTGCTCGTCGGGAGGCAGCAGGGCAAGCCCGAGCATCCCCGCAGAGCCGCGCCGTCCCCGCGGGCAGGGCGGCGACTGCCGCTGTCGCTGTCACCGCTGTCGCGACAGCGGCGCCGCCGCCACCGCGCTCTCCCCGCGCCCCCCGCGCTCCTTACCCGGCTCGGCGCGGGCGCTCGGCAGGAGGGCGACGACGACCCCGAGCAGCAGCAGCAGCGCAGCCACGGCCGCGGCCGGGCCCGCTCCCCCGCCCGCGGGCCCGGGAGCCGCTTCGGGGCCCCGCGGGGCGCGCCCCGCTCCGCCCGCCCGCCGCCCGCCGCCGCCGCATCCCCGGGGCGCCTGGCTCGGCCCCTCAGCGGGCAGCGCTGCCCATCGCCGCGCCGGGCTCTACAGCAGCGGCTCCGCGGGCAGGCGCGGCGGGAGGCGGAGCGGGGGCCCCGCATCGCCTGCCCGCGGGGACGCGGTGCCGGGATGCTCGGCGGCGGCGCGGCCGCCCCTCGGGCTCCGGGCGCGGGGAGCGCCGCGGATCGGAGCTCCTTCATCCACAAAGGGGCTCGCGGCGCCGCCGGAGCCGGCCCCGCTTCCCCGCCCTCCGAGCGCGGGGAGGCGGGAGCGGGGGCGGCGCTGCCGGGGCCGCGGGGACCCCTCCACCGCCCCCCGCCCCGCACGGGGGGAGCCGCGGCCAACGCGGGTGAGGCAGCCGGCGGTGGGGATGGGTCCCTGCCCGCTGTGCCGGCCAGAGCATCACCTGCGGGGGATCAGTCACCTCCCTGATTTTTCTTCTCTCACTTGGCGCCCGGTGCTGCCCTTGGGTGTAAACGGAGCTGCGCCCGCTCACACCTGTCCTGCGAGCCTGCCAACACTCAAAGTCCCTGCCTGCTCGCTTATTGCCGGCTGGTGTCCCGACCCGTGAGTCTCCGGGCCAGGGCATTCCCGAAGATGGCCCAGTTATCCCAGGCACCAGCCAGCGGCCACAGCGCCCAGCGCCACTGGCAGCTTTTCTGCAAGTGCAGAAGCAGCTCTGGAAATAAAGAAACTCGAGTGTACCGCAGGGGGTGACCAAATTGGCAGCTACAGCCCCAGCCACCCACTGTGCAAACAGAGGAGAGGTCTTCCCCTGTCGCCCCTGTCCTGTGCTCACTCGGTCGGTCACTCGCTCCCTGCCCAGGACAGGGCTGGGACGTCCAGCCTGAAAGGGGAGCTCCACAGGACAGAGTTTTGTCTCTGTGATGCTTAAAGGTACACCAGGAGACCGAGCAGCACATGAAATGTGTTATGGACAGCAGCTCCCTCAGTCACAGTCACACCAAACATCGGGGCAGCTCATTTAGTGTTTTCTGCAATTACTATTTTCAGCAGAGGTAACGCGAAATCTTTATTTTACTGTCATCTCTTTCCTGAAATGCTTCCATGAATTCTTTTAGTTCCCAGATCATTTCCGCAGGCAACAGGCACCGATGGCAGGAGGAGGAGCAAAGCAAAGGTGCCTTGGGGCACAACATGCTCCAGTACCCCGAGAGCTGGTTCTGAGAGGCTGCAGCAGTGCTTACACGCAGGAAAGCTGCCCCAGCCTCGCAGCAATTCTGTTCTGCTGGAAGTTGTCTTTTGGAGAAATTCTTCAAAGTCACGTTTGAGGCAGAGCAAGCCTCATCAGGGGCCAGCCCCAGCTTGACATCTGCTACCCAGCCGCTCACAGCATCCCCAAAGCCTGGCAGCCCGTAATTACATGTTTATCTGCCTAGTTCAGCACACTCCGGATGTCACCAATAGAACTACTCGGCCACTGTTATGTCCCATTTCTGCCGTCTTACTTTTTCCTCAAATCACTAATTCATTCCGTGCAAAAATTAGCTTCCACGTGATGACAACTAGCGATTACCCAGAGCAAAGATGGCAGTTGTATGATTATTATGGTGAAATGGAGAGCTCGCTCATCACTCCGCTTAATCCAGGGCCAACGCGTTTAGTGCAGGGCCCTCTGGTGGTACCTTTAGCGAGTCCTGCGGAAACCCCATTCCATCACTTTTATATTTTTTTCTAGGTTTTGTCATGATTCGGGTACAATTGTAATAGATCCATCAGTGAGAGATTTTTGAAAGCGATTTTTTTTTCCATTCTAGCTCTTAACTATTACGGTTTTCTCTAAATTTTCTATTACCCTCTGTGTGTGTGTTATGTATTACATGTAAAACACAAATAGTGGATTTAAATGTTATTTCAAAGGATTTTTAAAATGTTTATTTTCTAGAATGATGACTGGAACTCTTATTAGTGAAAAATCACAACAGTTTTACCAAGTAACTGTTGTTAATTACTTCCTGAACTTAACTTTCCTAATCCTAGCTGGGTTTGGTTTTGGGGTTTTTTTTGGTCCAGAAAGGTAATTTCTACCTCTTGGGGAGTATATGTGCATCCATACTTGTTACTGAGGTTTGCTTTCCTACATGTGTGTTCTCCCAGAGCATCCACATGCTCTGTACACTTGATTATCAGGTATTTTTTTGCAAGCAGCACCTGTATTTTGTCCATGAGTTCCCTTCCATGGTGACATGTGTGGCACAGGGAGGTGAAATGCATGTACTTCTGACCTGGCTTCCTCTCAGATGGGGAATCCTTAATGCCAGAAGTTAGTCCATATTCTAGAAGAGATGCCTCACTGTGGAGAAGGAATCAAGATGCTCCATGCCGGTCAAGATCTACTCTAGCTGGCTGTGATGTATTGAGTGTTCCTCCACGGGTCCAGGATGAACACCACTCTGCCACCCTATGTAATAACAAGCCACACACACAGAGACCAAAATTCACGTTTGCAGGGATTCCCCTGCCTTTGCCCCAGAGCGACAAGTTGACATCAGCTATCTGACTTTGGCTGAAATGATGAGTAACCCCAGATCCAAAACTGGCTTGCTTGCAGCAGACCTACCACAAACATTCCAAGTCTTCCTTGTCTTTATGAAGGAACCCATTGATGAGGATCTTCATCCACGGATGAGAAGCCACTGTGTCCATGCTCCGTGAAGCAGGTGGCACAAGTACAACCACAGGATGGAGTCCAGCCTCCAGGCACCTCTATCAGCTTGGGGGAGATGCTTCTAACCCGCTATTTCAGGATTTAAGGAGAAGAATCCTTTCAAAAGTGCGTTCCAGCCTCTGAGCATAAAGCTTTATCATTCCAACAAAGAAAACTCAGTGCTGTTCCCCAGAACAAGGACAGGCAGAATTACCTGCATGTGCTTGAAGCACGAACCCGCCTCTCCCAAGGGAGAAAATGCGACTTCCTACAGGTGAAAGGCAGGAAGCTGTAATTAACACCAATCACCGTCAAACCTTATCCAGGCCTTCCTGCACAGCAGGACACCAGCCTGAGCATTTCAGTGCGGGAAGAGAGGCAGGAGGGGCTACAGCACTTCTCTGGTGTTTCCCAGAGCTCTGCACTGCATGAGACACACATGCTGGGCACTGTGGGCCTGTGAGGAAGTCACAGCCCTTTAAGTGGGGAGCAGCACTGTTTCACAACTCTCCCGAAACTTTGACTCATGCTGCCTCTACTCCTGACAGGAGCTGAACTCACAGCGTGCATGAGCTGCAGTGATGAACGTGAATCTACCAGCACGGCCAGAGCTGCTTTGTGAGTGGTACCAAGCAGGAGCTTCTCTGTCGCCTCCCAGAGACTGATCATCTCTCCAGCTGAAAGCCTAAGCTGATTCACTGAGGAAACACAGCATCATCCTGAACCCATTTGTCCCACTCCAGGTCTGTAGCGTGTGACAGCCCCATTGACTCTGAGAGCTTTTCCTTGAATGAATCTGCTGTCTTAGCTGCAGAACAAATTCGTCCTTTGCTTCCAGTGACAGGGAAAATACTCACCAAATTTTAAACCAGCGTTAGTCATCCTGAAGGCAGCTGAGAGGAAGATTGCTTAGCTGTAATCGCCTGTCCTAGTCCAATCCTTCCACGGGATGGGGAAGAGCATAGGAGACAGCTGGACATCATTACTAATAGAAAGCAAGAACAGAAAGGACTTCACAGGCAGCGTATTTCCCCCTGAAAGGCTCAGGCTGCCTTTCCTTGTTCGTTAGATGCTGCCAGAAGTGTGAGTGTAAAATACACCGACGGCAGTGGCGTTATTTGCTATGGGAAAAGTGGGATCTAGATACCAACACGCATTTAAAAGTCAACAATACACGAGTGTAACTGTGAAGAGAGAGAAGGAAGCAGCTTGGGAGCAACAGAAGTGTCTGCAGAACTTGGACAGACACATTTACGTGTGTCACCTGAAGGCCCTCTGAAGCAAGCCCTGAAAGCCAACAGAATTTAAAATTTCAGAAAGAAGCTTAGACAAATGATTACACCAGAATTTTAGAGCCCTCTCAGAGAGTTTTCATCATCTTTTGACTTAATCCAGCCTTGAGGTAACAAATAAAAAATAAAAATATGAGAAATAAAAGTCACCAAAAGTCATCTGCTGCAATATATATTTTAATTCAAAGTGAATCTTGACAGTAATACACCATAAATTCTTATTTTGACACTCACCAAAATAGTCACCTGGAAAACCCGCTTTTTGTGACAAAGTACAGAAGGCTTGGTCACATTTAAATCACTGAGAACTAGAAAGAAATACTATCGCAAACTGTAAGAGACATTACATCCATAAAAAATTTTCCCAGTCCTCATATTGTAATATTGCACAGTGCAATTGCTACATGGCGAACTAGTGTAGCATAGAAATCCAAAGCAAAAAAAAACAAAAAAACCAAAAAAAACCAAAAAAGCCACAAGTCTACAAATTGTTAAACAGTAACAGTTCAACCTTAGTTAATCAAGTCTCTATCACTGGGTGTTTCTAGAACAAGTCTTCCTACAGCTTGCAGTGTGATTTAACTTTTACTTAACACAAACCAAGTTAGTTAGCAGTAAAAACAGAAAATTTAAAAATTAACCCCCCCCCCAAAAAAAAGTTAATACAGTAGCATATTTGACCAATAAAACACCCTGAAGTAAAGTTAAAAACCGAACACAAGAAATTCATATAAAATCTTGCAAATTAAAGTAATATGCAGATATGCAATTCCGTAGTCATGCAGTGTTTTATTTAAAAAAGGCATTTAAACAGTATAATGTATAAATGCTTCTCAGAGGACGACTTTTTTCACAGAAAAGGCCCTCACCCTGAAAGTTTTTTGGTTTTGTTTTTGTTTTTTTTTTTTTTTCCTGCAGATGGGCCACGGACACTTGCAGCGACAAGAGCCCGTTCTCTCAGTGGGTATTGCAGGAGGGGGGAAAAGTTACCTGGTATATTGAATTTAAGCTGTGGCAGGAACCCAAATATTTCCTTCTTTGAAATGCAGACGTTTCTAAAATGACAATACACAGAAAGAGCAGCAGATCTAATTTGGGGCGCATTTACAGCAACTTCTTCCTGCGCACGACAGGATACGGTTGTGAGATATACAGATAATCGTGTCAATTTAACAAGCACATCAGCTTAAAACCTTAAAGCACAGTAAAAAGAAAGTACAGTAAATACATCAGACCAACGATGATCCCCATGGCCCCAGCAAGAAAAAAAAAAAAAATTGCAGTTTTTTGTTGTGTTTTTGTGTTTGTTTGTTTATTTTTTTGTCATCGCGATACAAAACTCACGTTCTCCGTCTGCACTGGTGGTTCTTGGTGTGTCCATTGCCTGCAATGGAGGGAGCACCAAAAAAAACAAAGTCGCTTCCCAACACAAGGGAGTGAACAGAAAACTGTCTGCTGGACCACACAGCACGAGCTTGAAGGGGTAAGGTGGACGTCCAATTTGAGCACTGCCTCGGCTCCCTATGTTTAGGTTTTACAGATGCGCTGATAAGATTTCAAATTCATCAGGACACTCCCTAGTTTCTAATGTATACTTTATACACACACACTCGTACAAAATGCATAGAGTTGATTGCTAAAAACACTGAAACTTGTGGGAAAAGTTAGGTTTCTTAATTTTCAGTGTGATTAAAAACGTACTTGCTGGTATTTTCTTTTTTTTTTTTTTATAATGATCTAATACTGTTGTATTTTAGTTATTACTTAAAAAATAAATCAAATGTAGGCACATTTATTTCATTCAGACATTCATTAAATAAAACACTGCTTGTGTTAGTGGAGTAAAGAAAAAGATTACCAGTTATTAGCTTATTGACAGAGTTAAACTCAAATGCTTTGCACTCTTATTCCAGTCAACATTGCAAGGATTGTATTCCAGATTTTGTTTTAAAAAAAGTTAAGTCAAGCCTGCAAGATGCAGCTTCTTAAGTGTCTACACAATGCCAATATGAAAACATAAAAAAATTAAGTTACATCAATACATCCACTTATATGCAGTGATGAGCTCAAAGTTAATGGAGATAAAATACTGATGCAAATAACACACCCCAAAAAAACATATGCAATCATCTTCCATCATTTACAGTATAGTAGTTACGACACTTCAAACATGAAAACAAAATAAAAATTTAAAAATTAAAAAAAAAAAAACCAAAAAGAAAAACCAAACCCCAAACCCGGCTTCTATTTCATGTAATTAGACTTGTACAGAAATTAGAAGGCTAAGAAAGAACTAGTTAATCATCTAATTTCACAGCTATCTGAAGTGGCAATCGTTTATATAGCAGCTTATCTATGATACATTCAAGATAAATGATACAATTTATTACTTGCCCATAAGCTAAAACACGGCCTCAGCTTAATACCTTCCGTAAATCCCATCTCTACACTACAGTTTACTTGAGGTCTATGAAAAAGTAGCTACCTTTTATAGGAAATGGATGATTAAGTCTTTGGTGCCGCAAAAAAGCAACTTCATTTGAACAAAACAAAACAAAACAAAACAACAAAAAAAAATAAAACCAAAAAGACACACTTCCTAAGGAGAAGAAAAAAAAAAAAAAAAAAAAAGAAAAAAATTAATGCAGAAAGCATGTAATTTACGTCCCTGACGGAATGTATTAAATAAGCAAACACCCGCAACAGGCTAAAACAAATACTATCATTAAAAAAATAATAATAAAAAAAAGGCTAAAATCTCTCCCATGCATAAATGAAAGATTGCACACAAAGAACTCACATCTTTTCAAGCTTCAATAGTAAATATTCTGCTACTAGTTATTAAATACTGCATGGTTTGCTCAAGCTAAGATGAAACCACATCATGGATCAATGAGCACTTGGGCTTTTCCTCTCATTAGCTAGTCAGTCATGCCTACTGCACCTCTAAAACATTTTATTTTACCCAATTAGACAAACACTTTTAAAATAAACTACTTAGGTCGTATTGCAGTTCCATTTACCAGTATGAAATACTGTCTTGTGTGTCACTACTCAACAGCTACTGAATCAACTTCTCTTAAGCACTACTAAAGTCTTGTCTTGAAGCTAGATCATTCTGGGGGGGAAAAACAAAGACAGCAAAATTCAGCTACAGCAAAACATGCTGCCCTCTCGGTAAGGAAAACACACCCAATACTAAAATCATACCACACAAAACCCAAAATGAGCATTACGCTACCAAAAAATCAGCAGATCTGAAGTTTTAAGTGCTGCAGTCCTCAACATTTATATATAAGTAATAACATTAACAACCTCAAATATTTAAGGCACTATGTGTGGGAACAGTTTACAATGCAGCTGAGATTATTAGGACAACAACATTTAAGAGCAATGTTTAGGCTTTTTTTTTTTTTTTCCTTCGCCCATGCAAAAGACACATGCAATGTGAAGAAGAACAACAGCTCAACTTTTAGATAAGTGACTCAACATTTAAACACCAAGATACGCAATACAAACAAGTTACTCCTACACTGTACTGCTGACACATGTGCATCTGTTGCTCTAGAGTTCTGTACACTGAATGGCTTCCCAAATGTAGACGTGTCTTGCACTAGTTAGAAGGCAATTTTATAAAAAATAGCAGGAGCAAAACCAGATTTCTGCTCCCATAAGTCACCTGTCTAAAGTTACTATATAAGAAGGTAACATGAACCAAAGACAAGTTATACCAAATGTGCAAAACACATTAAAAGTGAGTTTGTTTTTGTTTGTTTGTTTTTTTTTCTTAAAGCTCAGAGAGTTGTTTAAATTGCACCCAAGTCTACATGATTCAAAAAAATAATTTTCCTCGTTGTGCCATGGCTAATATTTATAATAAATACCATGTTTTTCTTCTCAACTCGAAACTTCCGTATCATCGAGCCTCCTCCGTGCACCGCGCCTTGAGCTCTCACATGAAGGGGTACTGGCTGAGTTTCGTGGGGCTCAGCGGGAACCCTGCGTAGGCGGGCGACGCCGCGATGTACGAGTGCGGGGGGAAGAGCGGCTTGTACTGAGTCTGAGGGATGGTGGGGGAAGGCAGGAGGCGGGGGTTGATGCCCACCGGGACCTGGTGGACGATGCCGCTGGGGTGGGTGATGCCGTAGGTGGGGTGCTGCAGCAGAGGTCTGGAGGCACAGGGCGAGGCGAGCAGGTGGGCGACGGGCGCGGCGGCGCTGCCGAGGGGCGCCGGCGACGGGTAGGGCAGGAGGGCGGGCTGGGCGCCCAGGTGGGCGCTGCCGGGGAGATGGGCGTGCACGGCCGCGTGGCTGGGGCTGCCCTGGGGCAGGGAGAAAGCGTGGCTGGCCGGGATGTAGCCCTGCTGCCTCCGCTGAGCGTAGTTCCCGTTCCACTCCTGCGGCCCGGAGCCGAAGTGCTGAACCTGTCCACACACACACACACACACACACAGACAGAAAGAGAGACCAGGCAGGGTAATCTTTAATGTTTCTGGGTACAAAGAGGCTTTGAAAAATGGAATAATGCGCTAAAAACTAGTCAACTGAAAATCGGGAGGAATATAGAGACGGGAGGAATTAAACGCTTAAATAAATAATAATTTAAAAAATATATATATATATTAGCTATTTAGGTAGTAGCACAGACAGGAAATCTGACGATAAGAGATGGAAAACAGAAAACAAGTTATTTTAATGCTCTTGCAAAATAATAATAATAATAATAAATAAAAAAAAAGATCAAATGCCATGCTGGGCTGTTTTAACAGAAATACCATGTATCACATGAGCAAGGTGCTTATTCCACTCTACTCAGCACTGGCTTGGCATCAATTGGAAGTGCTGCATTCAGTTTGGGCACCATAATGAGGCACAAAGAGGACAAATAGGAGAGAAATTTTAGAGGAGAGCAGAAAAAATAATAAACGGATTGAAAACATCTGAGACAACTAGGCAAACAGAAGTCTAGGGCTATGATCACAGGAAGATGTGGCAATCATTAACAGTCATAAAGAGAAAAGACTAAAAATCAATTACTCTCATTAAATGATGCAGACTTCAAACTACACAGGGCATCTACCAAAAAAGGGAGGATCAGCATAAATTTTTTGCAAAGAAAATAACATTCTACGCTTTCTGCCAAGAGGCTGAGGAGTTGCAGACACTGAAGAGATTAAAAATTAATACCATGCTGATCATATTAAGGTTTGCTTAGAATTAATTAAACCAATCCTTTTGCATAATCATGCAGAAGGGGAGACTGTGTCACCCACCCAAACTTTTCTCTCAGTCTACACTATTCAAGTCGTCATTGCTAAATCCTCTTATCTACGTATTGCACGCTTGCATTTAGTGTTTAACTTACAATATTCAGTTATTCTGCAAGACTTACACAAACAGGTACTGCTCTTAGATTAATGTACCTCCAGCTATCCAACTAAAAGCTCAGCACAGCTCTAGCTCAACATTAATTAATTAAAAGGCTTAAACTTGATGTCATGTGTCAACTTCAGTTCTCAGCCACAGCAGACATACTTACTGTGTTGTTGGGTAATGATAAAAGTGACTTTTAAGTGAACTTTGAGTATCTTCTAACATTGGACTGAACTACATTCACAACCTCATCTCTGCCCAGTTTCACTGCCTGGCAGCAAAGTTATGAAATAGTCGAGTTTGTTAAGCTCTCTCTCTCATCTCTGAATACTCAAACTACAAGCTACAAGCATTTTCTCCACACTGCTAACAGAACAAGACTGAGACACGGCTGCTGATTTTAACTGCACACTGTGAGCAGTTTTAGCATCTGGATGTAGGAAAGAAAGTGCTAACGTGTTTTTCTGTTCGTCTCATGCTTTGATTTTGTGTAAGCATTGACAATTTTGCCAGTGGGACTTTTCTACTATTTTTGACAATAAAGTCAGCTGTTCTAAGAAAATGACCAGAAGTGAAAGGTACTTATGACTTGCCCACTAAGTTGAAATCCATTTTTCAAGATTTGAACACTTCTTTAATGAAGCTGCCGAAAACCTGCAATTGCCACTGACAGCAATCGAAACTGCGAGCATTCAGCGCGTTTTGAGACAGAAAAAGTGCTTTTTAGGTGTAAGTACATGTACCTGACTGAAGTTTACGTGTTGCTGATGGAATGCTGATTTTTGCTGACGGTTTCCTACAGCAGAAGACTGGTTTATTCTTCCCAGCACAGATCGACCCTTTTTCAGTGGCTGGCACGTAGCATCTTCCAAGATACAAATAAACAACGTTATGTTTTTGTTGTCACTGCTCTCTTCTGACAGAAAGCTAGACAAAGTTTCATTTGCTTCAGCATACAGGGGAGAAACAATAATAATACAGGACACTAATTAAAGTCAAAACCCAGCAGTATTTAGAAGTGTTTACTACGGATTAGCAGACACATGAATAGGTCAAAATCTTCAGATATACGGCTATTGAATAAACACTGAGATTTCTGTTCTTATCTACTGGCATAGAAAGGAAAAAAACACCTGAACCAACTTACCTGTATTCACTATCTGTTCATCAAGATGTAACCTGTTTTCAAGTCTCATTGGTGGTACCACTACTGTGCAAACAGTTGATTTGGTTTCAGGATTAACCGAGGCTCTTGCTTCCTTATTTTTATTATTATTGGCTACAAAGCCGTTCTCCACAAACGGGCTGTCATGTCCTGAAGAGTCTGAAGTTGGGGAACCATCCACTGTATCACATCCACTTTCCTGTTCGTCATCTGACATGCTGTCAAAAAATAAAAGTACTGCAATAAAACAATTCTATTTTTTGTATATATCCATTTTCTTAAATTAACACGTAAAATTTATGGAAGTGAAACGACTCAAAGGTGGATAAAAATAATACATATTTCTTATACAAGCACATATATTCAAACTCATTCTATCCATAAACTGAAAGGCTCAGAGAAAGGAGGTAATTTCTACATAAAGACTTAGACGTGTAACCCAACTTGGACCCACTTTGCAATTTTATGTTTTAAGTAATTCTGTTCTTACAAACCACCTGAAATTTAGACTTTTAGGTCAAATAAAGAAGTTGAAGAAGACTATTTCATTTCTTCCTGAATGATAACATAAAGGTCTCCTGCTGGTTATTACAGTGGCAAATGAGAACAGAACACACTGATCCGATTTCCAATGCCAGTTGCCAGGAGCAAGACCACGGTTCAGTCAGTGGAACCAGAACCAAACACCTTTTAGGCAGCAAGAACTGAACACCCCAGGAAAGGAAACTCATTTACAATGAGGTATATATTGTCAGAAGAGATGCTAACCTCCTTTATTATTTATTTATTGCACAAGCAAAAGGTGCATCACGGGGGGCATCACTAACAACAACAACAACAACCACCAAATTTAAGAAGTTCTCAGTTGGGACTGTGCCAGGTTCATACAGATATATATAATGTAACAGATATATAATGTAACGTGTCTTTATTGCATGTTGTTTAAAGTAAGACAATATAAATAAAACCATTTACAAAAATTAGTTTTTTTGTGAAAAGTACTTTGACCCTACGAGGGGCAGCACAAAAACCTGAAGACTCAGCCAACAGAACTAGGTATATCTGAGTATTTTTTTTTTTAAGCAGCGCATAGTAATAATGTGACAACTACTGAGCAACTAATTGTATTTCTATATTATTATTTTTGATTCAAGTTCCTAATTATATGACTCACATTAAGTTGAATGCTAATGAAACCAGAATCCAACACACTCCTCTGCTACTGACAAAAAGTTGAATTACAGAGGGGAATTTAATTACAGCTCAGTTCCTTGCAATTCAAAGAAAATACTGTAAAAGCAAGCTGGTCTTCTTAAAAACTCTAATCTGAAGTTTTGAATGTTTTGATATTACGGAATATCAAAGGACTGACAACATTAACTACCAACCAGTAACACTACCTGACACCTCCCAGTATAAGATCCATCTTGTTATCCAAATCTTTGCTAAAACTTAACTATTTAAATGAAAATTCTTCAAATGCTTCTAGTTATTTTCTTCTTTTGCAGTCAGATATGCCAAAAGCTTAAAAAACTAGGACCAGGGAAATATAACTAGTTTAGTCCATTTATTTATCTCTGGCAACTTTTTTAACTCCCCTCTTTTTTTTCTTGAGGGGAGAGGACTGTATTTATATAAAAAGTAAGACTTATACAGATATAAATCATCCATTAAAAGCATCACTGAGTCAGGCTGTAGAAAATTTAAAACATATAAAACTGCCTGTATAGACTAGCAGTTCCATCTCCTTACCAATACACACTGTGATAGAGTCTTGAATTATTCTAAACAAACTTTTTTCATTAAGACCCTAATCAAATTCATTTTGCACAATGAAACTGCTCTGAGTTTGAGTCATCCTTTTATGTATAGAAAGTTATTCTACAGAAAATAGGAAGTGATCTGTAGAATAAAAAAAAAAAATAAAAGAATTTGTCATGCTTATGGTAGCCAGGGGTTGCCTGAAAAAAATTCACTGTATCTCTGGGTCACAGAATTTCTATGGGATATTGGGTGAATCACAACAAAATAGTTCAGATTAACAGTGAATGGTTTTATAAAAGCAGATTTTTGAATGATGGGCAAAAATGGAGTCCTAAGGTAGACATGAGGCAGTGAAGATAAAAACATTTAAGAGCTGCTCATATGAACAGTGGTTGACATAAGGGAGGCTTATGTTTGGTAGAAGAAAAAAGGCATCAGTGTTATTAAAGACTGCAAGATGCACAATGGGGGAACAAGAGGCTGCAAAACTTAAAGACAATCTCGTATCTTCCAATCTGTCACATCCTACTTTGGCTAGATTTAAATTTGCAACCCTGGAAGATTTTTGTTCTGAAGGAAGCTGCATGCAACATGTTTATATTTTCTGTGTTAACACCATCCATTCAGTATTCTGAAAACTTCCACTGCAGCAACAGAGATCTGTTAGGAATGGTAAAGGAACAGTAAATTAATTTTTAAATAGATCACTTGGCCTCACCAGATGGAACCGTAACAAAAACGCCTGCATTTTTTAGCACAAACTGAGTCTGCTGCATACTGGGATCTTTCTTTCTGCTGAAAGGAGCCCAACTCTTTACCTGTTGGACCTCTTGCAAGGAGATGGACTGGACTGCTCGGAGGAGCTGGTGCTCAGGGTGCTGTCGGGACTGCTGAGGGAGCACACGCGGTCGATGTTCAGGGTGTTCTGGCAGGCTTCGCACTCCAGGCTACCTTTACACCTGCCACACACAAACAAATCAGCAAACAACACCAGCTCTCACTCCCCACTGACTTAGCTGTAGTTATGGACTAAAAAGGGGTCCAATATTAGAAAAGGTCCTTAAACGTGAATTAATATCCAATTCCTTGTTTCTTTTATATCCAAACCAATCGATACTAGAACAAGTCAGATAAAAAATCTTGCTACAATAGTTCAGACCCTTGAAACCTTTGACAAAAGCTGAGATTTCAAATACAAGTCCCTCCAGTTCAGAATCATTACAAGTAAAAATGAGGTCAAACAAACATTAAACTTCTAAGCCCTCATTTAAAATGATGCATCGCTTCTGTGATGGCTCTGTGAAAGAAAACTCCACTGGGGGACCAGAGCCAGCACCTGCCTTTACACCCAAAGGTATAAAAGGTATATATATATGTATATATACACACCTTTTCACACTGTTAGAGAAGTATTTTCTACCCACATGTATTTTCTACATACATATGTATGTAACACTATTTACTGGATAATGGAGAAAATATTCTCTTGTGCATCCAGCACGCTGAAATAGAAGAATTGCTTTGCTCCTTAAAACCCAAAAAGGGTCTTGGAGAGCTTTTTTATACCCTTTTTATATCTACTGGTAGAATGATAACATTGATTATGCAAAGCCAGAAGACTAATCTTCAACAAATAAATAGGGTGTGACATTATTAAGAAAAAAAAGGATGCTGGACCTAAAAGTACTATGGTTTGAAAATGCCTAATGCACACGGACTGATGAGGTAGAGTTTTGATAGTGTTGTTCACTCTCAAATAATACAGGGCTACAGAGTTAACCTCTTCCTGAAGTCTGATTTAAAAAGCATCATTATTTGTCCTTTTTTTTTTTTTTTAAACTCAGACCCATTAAACCCAGCAGCTGTGCTAAGACAGCCACATTTAAGTAAACCTTGCCAAATAAATAAAACCAAATAACAAAGATAATAAATACAAGCACTGGTTCTTACTCCCTCAGTGAATGTGTCCGTCCCAGGTCGTCCTCGTCGGTGTCACTGCTGATGGTGATGACGCTGACGGCGGGGCTGGGGGAGCCGGATATGAACAGGGCCTGGCGCTGGGCGGCTCGCAGGGAGGGATCAGGGGCCAGCCTGACCGAGGCTTCACAGCAGGTACCTTGCTGCCCTTCTGAGTTGAGATTGTCCTGTGCTTCTATACAACTTATGCTCTTCACAGCCTTCAGGTTAAGTATCTTTGGAGATATGAAGGCTGAATTTTGGATGTTGGTGTTTTGTAGCACGTTGCTCCTGTGAAGAAAACGCTCCGTTTGGCATTTAGTGAATCTCTACACTAAACACAGTAATAAACACTTGGCATAGATGACTTCAGATATTAACAAGAAAGATGGAACACCTAAGACTGAAATTTATAACACTGAATGCAGTATACTGAAAATCCCATTTTCTTGTAAGGGAAAAAAAAAAAAAAAAAGAAACAAAAATCTCATTCAGGTGAAAAACAAGCAAACAAATCCTGGCCAGATTTGCTGCAGAGATTCTCCCTGCAAACAGAAGCTGGTGGCCTCCAGAAGAACTCCTTGCTTAATACAGGAATGCTGACATTGTCCCTGTAACGTGTGCTTTCCCATTTATCGAGCATCCCACACCTTTGCCAATACTTTGCATGGAAGTGGGGTATATTTTCTTCAGCAGGCAGCTGAAGCATTTTTGGCTACCAGTAAAAGAAAGACTGTTGTTAAGGCGACTGCAAGGCAAACTGCAATCCCCTGTGCAGTACGTCTTTATTTTCAGTTCCCTAAACCTGATATATTCTCACACACATAAACTTAGGAATATCCCACTACAGCTACCTCAATATATTCTTTGAGTGTCAGAAATATTCTACCAACCTGTTCTGGCACAGTTTGTTCCTCTTGGTAGCTGCAGGCTGAGGCCAGACGACGTGTGCAATGCCCACACTAATTGGCTGAGGGGCAGACAGGGTTATCTGATGTGTTAAAAGAGGCTGTGGTATCACTGAGCTGTAATGAGTGCCCTGGGTAATCATCTTCCTGGGGAAAAGGAAAGGCAGTTTTACATTGCCAGTCATTTCGCATCAGCACCCACAGTTCTTGTTAAGTCGGAGCCATTATTAAGGCATGGCACAAAAACACATGGGCTTACCCCCAGTCTCCAAGCCTCTGTGGGCCAGCCACAGGATCAGAGGCCAGAGATGTTGCAGGAGCTGCCACTGGTGCCACCTGCTGCCATGCAGGAACCAGGATCTGCTGAGTCTGATTTGACCACGTCTGTGTTGCGAAGCAGAGAAGATTTTTATGACGCGGGGCAACGACTGAATTTACATTCGCCGCTCGTGGTTCAGCACAGAACAGAGGAGGGACCACAACAGAACTCTACATTTAAAAACATTTACCAGCTAATAATAAAGTAAGATTTTTTCCTTTAGAATGAGCCAACCTGAGAGAGGATTCCGGCTCGAATCTGTAGTGGCTGAATTGCGTGGGCTTGGGTCACCAACGGAACTGCATTATCCACCCGCAGGGAGAAACTGGTGGGTTTGCTGTGGTTTGTAGGAATTCCTGTCAGGGAGAAAAACATACACCCAAGCTTTCAGCAAACACCGGTCTTGCTTGTATTTTCTGAGCCAAATGCAAACACCACAGAGGACAATTTTAAAACATTTCACGAAAAAAAACTTTTTTAATGTGTTTATGATCTAATCTAAGTCATCGTTTATATGACTTTCAAGCCAAACAAATAAACATCTAAAAGGTTTTTGTGCCTTAACTTATCTGCACAAATATTTGATGCTGGAATTTCCAGAAAGAACTGCCAATAGCTACTATTTGGAAACAGCTTAATAGAAAGAGGAATGACTTTGGCAGCAAGTTCTGCAAAGCTAAGCATTTACTCTTCATCACAAACTTCATCACAAATATTTCAAAGGAAGCAGAAAAAAAGTAAGCAGAACTGAATTTCAAAGCTTCTCACAACTGACTCCTGCACATCTCATGCTCTGTATTTCCAGCAGGCTGAAACCCATTCCTCTTGGCTTTTATAGCAGACAATGCCACAGGTATAATGCCCCTCCTTGCTACCATCTCTTCAGTGGGAAACAATGTAAAATTTTATGTGAATCTCATCAAATGTTTGCAGTAGAATCCATAACCCTACTCCTCCTTTCAACAAAATAATGCAAACTGTTAGAATATACCACAAGAGCATAATACGAAAAAGATGCATCTCATGCCCTGTATAGGTTTCATTATTGTCACAAGGAACTAACAGACATACAGCAATGCTGAAATGTTTACTACTTAGAGCATTTTTTTACACAATAATGTCAAAAAAGTATGGAAGAGGATTTTTTCCCAACAGATACTGCAACAGAGCAACTATGGCAGAAGACAATACTGCCTAAGAAAAGATATACCTGATCTCACCTTCTAACTGCACTGCATGCCTTGTGCCTCAGTCAAAGGTTAAGCAATGAGTGTTCACAGGTAACTACTGAAGAACTACTAAACTAAAGTTTAGAAGTGGTTTGGTTGGGTTTTTTTTTATTCTTTACAGTAAAAGATGAAAGAAAATCTTCATCTGATGTAATTCTCATGTCATAACCAGTATTTAGTTATAACCATGCACTTCAAAGTTTTCATTTTGAAATGCAGTTGACTGATTTTTTTTTTCCCCACAGCCATCTAGAAGAGCAACATCTTAGCTCTGACAGAAGTAGCAAGTTTTAGCACTTCAGATATTCCACAGAGCAGCCAAGCTGGGAAACGTTGAAGCAGTGCCAGATACCATTAATATCCCCTTTTCATCCGTGCCAACAACTCAACTCAGCACCTATGTGATGAAAACAATATATTCCCTTCATTTCAGCTGTAGCAGAATTTAAATTTGGAAATTTATCATCATACTAAGAGTATGGAATTTAGAATATGGAAAGTTATCGTCATATTGAGAATACAGTATACAGATCCCAGATAAAGTATTTGCCTTCATGTTTCACACTTTGTTCCTCTATTTCAGCCAAGATATAAATTTATATGTGTGTCTGTGGTATATGAAGATGAGCTTTGAATTGCTTAAATCATTTTCTGCAGGTGCTGATTTGCTGTTTATTTCAGAAAGGTGCCACATACCTGCATCTGACTCACATGCTAATTTTTTAATTACATAATTAAGTTCTTTTAAACATAAGCACTAAGTGGATAGAATGGAAAACTCAAATATTGCCAACAGACAGACAGTAACACTCGTATTTTAGGAACTGTGACGATTACAGATAAACCTACCTTGAATAGCTGGAGGACATATAATCAATGCCTGTTGGAAAACATCACTGCAACCAAACTGAGCAGTTCCTGCCTGCAGGGGTATCCCTTGGTGCAAAACTGAATGGGCAGATGCAGTTAATGCCTATGGAAACAGATTCAACACAGGCAACATTATTATAAGCATTAAATCTAAATGTCTCACACCCTTGTCCCACCACTTCGTATAATAAACAACTAAAATAACTTACAAAAAATTAAAATTTCAAATACATTTTACAGGAAGCCATTCTATTTGGCCACTGGAGGGCATCATAATACAGCACTGACGATCCCAGTTTTGTCCCTTAATTTGAAACGTGCCGAATTCTAAAGGGTTTGGTTAAGAAAACATTAGGAAAAAAATAAAAGACAGTAGATTTTGTCACTTAACAGATGTAATTTTTTAAATTATTAATTAGAAGAACTGCATTAACTGAACTTATAATTAAAAAAAAAAAAAAAGAAAAAAAATTTTAAAAAACCCCAAACCACAAAATGTTGTTTTTACCTGACTTCTTACTGGACCAATTTTGGTAAAGCTCGCAGTCAGGTTGGCTGCACTGCCTGAGGCAACTGATCTCATAAGTGATGTTTTATTGCGATTGCTTAAGTCATACAGATTTGATCTGCATTTGCAAATATCCATGATATGAAAACAGGACTTCACTCTATCAAAACCAGAAAATAAGTCGCTTTAATCACGATTTCATGTCATGTTAAACGTATAAAACAATTCCCCCGAACAAGATTAAAAAAAAAAAAAAAAAATTTAGTTCAAAGCCCACATTTTCCAGTTTCACAGAATGGCATCATACACAGAAGCAGGAAAAAAAGAAACACTGCTGTTACTATGGTCACGTCAAGCCTTTGTAATGCCTATTTTGAAATCAAGGAAAATAATGCTATTTCCTACTCCTTCCATCTAACACCATTTTCCTGACAACTGTGTGCAAACAGCAAGGACAGTAAACTAAATAGGTGGAAAGCTTTCTCTTCCAGTGGAATGCTCGCACTTCAGGAAGTCCACGGGGAAATCCACAACTCCAGAACTGCAGGAAAACTTTCAATATATGCCACATGAATTAAAAGAAAGTCCCAAGATGTTAACCTCAAGAGGAAATGCCCATCCTAGCTTTCAGTGACTGGTTGGGACTAGGGCTCTTCACACCTCCAAAAATCAAGCCCAAGTTCCTGCAGTGCTGGAATTTTAACCACCATGCATAGAACCAACTGTTCTGCTACTTTTCAGAATGAAAAAATCCATTCAACCAGTTCCCTTGACCCAGTAGGTGTATCTAACACTGCAAGCACTTGAAAGCGTTCTCTAAGACATCATAAAAATCATGAAAGCAGAAGAAACAGCAGTGCCACACAAATGAATTGCAAGCAGCAAGAGATTCCCGTGTTACATACTGGTTGCTATGAGGAAAATCGAGGAGGTGCTTCATGGTAACAAAAGAATGGTTCAGGGTCTCAGCTGGAGTGATTCTTAGATCAGCATCGATAAGCAACATTTTCTTCAACAGACTGACGAACTCCCTCCTATCTGCCTTCTCTGCCAACAGGTCACTTCCTTCCAAATCCATCACCATGTTCACCTGGCATTGAACAGAACAGTCAGATACAAGATGTGCATATTATTTTACCTCTTTCTGTTACTGCTTTCTGCTATAAAATGTTGATATTCAGCCTTTTGGTTAGCCAAGTGATTGGCTTGGAATTGATGACTTTTTCTTCACTCTGCCCAGCTAAAAACCCCTGAAGGCTTTATTCCAATCTGGGACTTGGAATTGAAGAAATAAGATTTGGAATAAAGATCTTCATATGGTCTAACTCAAACTACAGAGGTAATCTTCAAAAAACAGTATCAAGCATGTGTTAATGCCAACATTGCAACTAAATTTGATTCTTTTTTCAGGATATGAAAGAAAAAGAAAATATTGACTTGAGAGTTATAAAGCTAAGGAAAAGTGAAAAAAATACAGGGTTTTTTATACAATTTTTAAAAATTATACTGAGAAATATATTGTTAAGATAACAGAATGATACTGGAAATCATGCAGTTAAGATAGCAGGTTCCAAATGCATTTGTTGTTTTCCCCATAATGGCAGATAAGGTAGAAGAGAAACTATACATCCTACATAAAATTAAAGGGTCCACAAGGAAAAGTACCGCTGTTTAACAAAAGCAGTGGCAAGGGAATATCTTTATTAAAAGCCCAAAGGGCTCACATGGCCAGACATCTTCCTCAGAGCAGCAGAGAAAGGTAGGTATGACTGAGATTTAATAAACAATATTCTAAAGGGCATTTCTTTCCAAACTAATAAAATGTTTTAAAATCAGTGTTCATTCCCACGTGTTCCTCTTGCAAAGGATGAAGAAGGCTCTGATACTCACGTGCACTATATCATCCAAACTGTTGAAAATATACTTTCTGGCCTCTTTAGACTTCATACCTGTTTCTGCCTCGTGTTCTTCCAATGTCTCAAAGGAAAAAAGAAAAAAAAAGGAGAGCTGAGTTTAGAAGCTGTCAATAAAAGGCACAACTACAAAGGAACTTTACCTATTTACTGACCTTAAAAACACTATTGTTTGGGGTTTTTCTCAAATAAATAGTATTTTAGTTGACTATTTGTACAGTGCTTTTCTGGCTACTTTCTATCTCTAAATCAAAAGACAAAAACTAGTACATTTTACATCTGACAGATCACAGAAGTGGATTACAATAGATAGTCTGTAAATCATGCAGGAAACACTGAAAGCCTAGCAAAGAGCTGTTTAATGAAAGTGTCTCACATGCTTATATTTTTATGTATCACAAGTTTTCTAATACTCGTATTTTACCCATTTCCTCAAACTCAGACCTTTAACTTCAAACAGCAGCAACATCATAACACTTTAAAAAAAAAAAAAACACCAAAACACCAAAAAAACCCACAACAAAACCAACAAACAAAAAAAACCACCCAGGCAATCTCTGTTCAACTTCTTTGTTTTCTCTTTCTTTTTTCATTTTTATACTTTCATTCTTCCACATACACAACAGCTGGCATAAATATTTTAAATACCGAAGTATGAAACAAACAAATTCTAGAGGATGAATTAAATCACTCATCAGTGATTTATGAGCTGGTATATACCACTTTCTGTTCCAGTTTTCCTCCTTCAACACAGCACCTGTGGGCTGGTGCTGCAAGAGGCAAGGTGGGGATTCAGGGGGAAAAAAAAAATTCAATGCACAGATTACAGAAAAGTTTCCAAAATTAACTTCGACAAAAAACTGTGACCAACGGTTCATACTAAAACTCCTAATTAACCAAGCCAGGTAACAGCTTCTGAAAAACAGGGAGGGCTGTTTGCATCAAGAACTCGTTTAGGTTCTCTGATACGGAGAAGAAAAGAGTCACCCAAAGATCAACTGCTGGAGAAAAGAGGATCCTGGATTAACCAGGAGGGTGTACTTGGAGAATTCTTGCATAACCCGGCCCTGCAGCGCAGCACCGGCCCCGGCCCAACGCACGGGGGATTTACCAAATTTACCGAGTTACTGTGGGGAGTTACACAACTCGTGCCTTGAGCTGCTCAGCTCTTTGCTGCTGCAGAAATTCCGTGTCAACCCTGTAACTGCTTCCTGACTTCCCTGAGCCTTCTGTAAAGCTCGGTGCAGTTGGATCATGAAGCAATACAATTGAAAAAAAAAAAAAAAAAAAAAATTGCCTAAAAAGTGACAGCTCAGCTTAGTCACTTAGTCACTACCGTGAAGTAACGATGGTTAGAGAGAAGCAAGGTGTGCAGAACACAGAAGAACTTCCTAATTTCATCTGCGCTCACTGTAGTGCGGCTTTCAGCCAACAAAGACTGTTCTAGCAGGGGATCTGAAGGAAATTAGCTGCACACAGTCGTGCTATTTCCTAATCTCCTTTTTCTCCTAGGAACTTCTGATCCTGAAGCCAGTTTTGGACAAAATTTTGACAGAGCAGTGTGGGCCTCCGAGACAAATTCCTTAAGTGAAGTGAAAAGCAGTCACCGAGCAGGAAAGAAAACGAACCAAAACAAACCCACTCATTTGGTACCTCTGGAGACACAAGGCTTAATTTGAATTCCCCACATGGCAACCATGCCCTGGCCACTGCACAGCCTGGCAGCTGCACCAGACCTGCCTCTGGGTCAGCCAGCAGGAGAAAACATGGACATGAGCTTGGAGCGCTGCTTTTGGGGAAGGGAAAAAATGGATGAGATACAGAGCAGGGAGCTGGCAAAAAACACAGGGGATGCAGAAGGGAGAGAGTGGTACTGCAGTGAATCTTGGCCTCTCTGGTTTCCCTGCTCACAAAACAGTAGGTTGTTTTCTACTACATTCCACTGTTTACCTTTAATCTCCAACTAGAATATGGTGCATCCGTTTCTCTACAGAAAAATCTTGCAGTTTTTGTTCCCATGCTTAACAACTGCTCTCCTGGCAAACCTTGAGTCTGTGAAATGTAACGAATCTGAGGAAAAAGAAAATAAAACAGGAAAACCAATTTCATCTCTTTCTTTTCAAAATCTGATCCACACAGTTAAAAAAAGTTTTCATTTCATTAAAGAAAAAAAAAAAAGGCAAAATGAGCCACGCTCAGAGCACCTGGGTTTGACAGCTACATCTTACACAGGGGAGAAACCTGACCCTGAGCACTTGGTACTGCTCTCTCGGTGTGTCAGAGAAAGCCACACATAAACAAACCTCTGAAGTGACCTATATAAGCAAGCTTTTTAGGTTGGGTCACAGAAACGAGAAGCTGTGCAGAGCGGCTGCCGTGTCCTCCTCAATCCATTCAAATCCTAAACGTGTAACTTTCATTCTAAACAGAAAGATCCACGGGAGTGCTTTGTTTGCATACTGAACTTTGATGGTTTTGGGGGTTTTTTTGCACGCTCTCATTACATAACTTGATAAAAATCCTTCCCATTTGCTGTTTCCAGTGTATCAGTCATTTACACACCTGACACACCGACAAGGAAACATTCCACGTGGAAAGGGGGGGTGCATGCACAACCTCTAGGAATCCAGCAAAAGATACTGTCCTCATCCAAGAAACTTTGCTACTGAATGTGGTGGGAATGGACTGGTTTCATGAACCTTTTCCACTGAAACGATCAACACGCATTTATTTTAGAAGATGACTTACTGTGCATTTTGCATTACCTTTCTTATAGTTGATGACTGATGGATCACCTAAAATAGCTAAGTTTCCAGGTTTCAACAGAAAACTGTTGAAACATGCTGTGTGTTAACTACTGTGCATGCAATGCTAACTCACTGTACAAGGGGGAGTTATCCCACAACTTCTTTAAAAATTAAAAACCACCTCGGAGTTAGAACAATAATTGGGCAATAACTGAAAACTGAGCTTGCTGCAGGCTGGGATGGAGGGAGTCTGGATTAAAGCAGACAGGGCAAGACCCTTCAGGGGTTCAGCCCTGAAGGGCAGTGTCCCACACAAGGGGCTTCTGGGGTGAGCCAGCCCCTGGAAAAGGTGGAGCAGCCAAGGAATAAGAGAAAATGGAAGAAAGTCAAAAAGAGAGAGGGGTCAAATACACCAAATACACCTGAGAGGAGCAACACCGATGGGCAGTAGAGAGGAAAGGTACATGTGAGGCTTCTGCTGAAAAATAACTGACAGAGCCAAGTGGGGAGGAACTAAATGCAACCCTGCCAACTTTGGTTATTTGGAATCCTCCATACTTCCCTACCTCAGGGAGTAAAGAGAATCCCACCCTGACCAGAAATGTTTCTACATCACTTATAACGTGTTCAGAAAACAAGTAAAGACTGAAAAGTTAGTGGGGGAAAGGCAGTGCATTAATTCAAAAATTTAGCAGTTGAGCACCTGAGCCTGTTTCTAATGTGTATTAAAGCTCAGAAGGCACAGCTATTTTCCCCTGGGAAGCCCAGCTGTTACTGGTGCTAATCACAAAGGAATACAAGCACTAAGAGCAACCTTTCCAGGGCCAGCGTGACACAGGTTGCCAGGGCTGCCACACAGCAGGAGGACAAGGGGGGGAAATGCAGCACAAAGCCCTTTGCCTGTTCATTTACTCAGTGACACACACCACGGGAGCAGGAGGAAAGGAATTTCCTTGGAAGCCATCTCCCGGTGCTGCTGCACTCACGTACGCTGAGAAACAACCCTGACTCAAATTTCTCCGCAGCAAGTTTTGCAGACGTGCCGGAGCACGAAGACGAGCCTGGCTAAACTAAGACAATTCCTGCTGGTGCAGAGCAGGTTACAGCCCCTCTTCCTCCACGACTTCTCCAACGTGAGGGGCAGACAAGTTGCTAGGTGAGTTATTTAACTTAACTGATGCTTCCAGCAAACTTGAATGATATGTCACTCTTTAACTAAATGTCTTTTAATCTTTTAGCTCCCTTGCAAAGCAAGCAGAAAGTCTTATGGGCATTAAGATTCCCCACTAATCCATGCAGTCCTTTGCATGAAGCACCTTGGAAGGTGCCTGAGAATTCAATGCTGTGAACTCGCACTGTCCAACAGGATCCAGAGGTTGAGCCATGTGGGGTAAAAAAGGGCTTTTCTTTTCAAATGAGACTCCATATTCTTCTGAAAAAACATCCTCAGAGTCACAAGACTGAGCTTTAGGCTGTTACTGCTCCCTGCACCAAAGTCAGAGGCTCAAACCTACGTAGGCCTGTTGGCACATGTTAATTAATAATCTGGGCTGCTGCCATCATGACAAATCAGAAGTTAATCTGAGGAAAGAACTGTGACACAGGCAGCATTTTCCACCCTCAAACCCCAACTTCACCACAAGTGACTGAAGCTGTTGGTGCAAAGCAGCATTCCACATCCAGAAGCAGCATCTGTCTGGGCTTATCCACAGCAGCATCCCTTTTAATAGCTATTTACAGAAATATGGGGTTCAAAAGTGGAAATTTCCCTGGAAATTACATATTTTGCATCTTTCTTTTATTTTTTTTTTCCTAATTAAAGTCCAGATCTTCTCCTGCAGTTTCTTCCAAAATAAGAGGTAAATAAATCTGCCAAATTCTTGGAAATATTTGAGACAGTATTGTAGATTCTTTCCAAAAAAAAAAATGCCTTCACTTTATCCTTAAAAATTTATGGCTGTTAGATGTTTCCTCTTTAATTTTCTATTTTAACAGCAACACTCTGCAAAAAGGTCTTTATATGCTTCAAAGCATCAACGCACGTTCCCCTCATAGCTCACTTTCTACACATGAAATGCTGTATTTTGTGCAAATTAAGTAAACTGAACTTACAAAACATTACCAAAATCAACTCAAAATTAATATATCCCCTGACGGTGCTTTTAACAAACAAATTTCTAAAAAAAGTAGGTCTGAGCTGTACGTACAGGGAGCCAAAAGCCCATTACATCATCAGGACTTGAATGACCTAAACAACGTGCTGGAGGAACTGCCCCTAAACTCAAGGTTGAATCAAAGATGTAGAACTTAGCAAGAAGCCAGTGCTGTTGCTTCTGGGGTTTTCAGGAGATTTCTTCACTTTCCAAGTTCAAAACCAGGTGGGGATACTCAGGATGCTCATTACGTTCCTTCCAAATTCCACATTAGGCCAGAAAATTACAGACTTCTCTAAGTGTTTAAAATAGAAAATGTTCTACATCTTTCCTAAGAAACAACGTGGGGTTTTTTCTAAGCCAGGTCACTAATGCTGATGGTGTCAGCAGCTGAAAACTCCAGCAAAGCAAAGGCACAGCTTCAACAGCTCCAAGCTCCACCACGGCACATCTGCATTATTATTATCGTTGCGACAGTTGGTTCTCGTTCCCTGTGAAGGACAGGCTCTCAAATCTTTGAGCTTTGCTGGATTTCCAGAAAGCATCAGAAGACAATTAATCCTGACATCTGAATAGACATTCCAGAGTCAGCCCCGTTCATTATGTTCATGGCAAGCGAAAGAGAGATGATAACGCGATGACGGTGGCCGCAGACTTTGGTTTCCAAAAACAAAACAAAAAAAGCTACTGCAATACCAACATCTATTTTTTAAGATGGAGGGAGGAGGACAAATTGAAATTTAGTTCAAAAAAGCAGCACAATATACAGTCTGGTTTAGAAACGTGATTTATGTTTCTGGGACAATGAGTAAGACTAAATTAAAAGCATTGGACAGACGTGAAGAAATGCTACATAACAGGGGACATTATTAACATTCACAATTCTGGATTTAATGATCTGAAATCCTTAAGCTGCAGAAAGTTTGTGAAGTTTATTCTACTACCTGGTCATATTCCAGTGCTCCCGGGTACAGTGGCCATCCAAGGAACAGCTCTGCAATCACACACCCTAACGACCACATGTCTATGGCTTCACAAAACGGCAATCCCAGTATGATCTCTGGTGCTCTGCAAATTAAACATGGTTACTGCATTTTTTTTTGCTTGGGGGAAAAAAAAAAAGGTAATTCAACAATCCAACATGACAGCAACAACAACAAAACAAAACAACAAAATCTGTTATTTGATAACAAAGGCTAATTATTTCAATAAAACCATAGCATCAGAAATAGCATTTTTCTATAAATAATCTGTGGTAACATTTTGCAGCTCTAAGGTGGTTTTTTTCCTACAAGTATCTAGGAAATATCCTACAGTTTGCTATGTACATGAAAATAACTTATGTCCCTGGTTCAACACTTTTCCTCCACTATATCTCAGATGATTCATCCATTCAATGTTATATGTCTTTAAGTACATTCTAAAAAAATTACAGTCTTTTGTATCAAACAAAAAACCAAACTAAAAGTTTCATCAGAAAATCCACTTCTCACTTCCCAACCGGGCAGTACACTTAAAGCTATTTAAAATATCAATTTAATTACTTAACTGCAAATCCCTTAATGTACTCAAATCAGTTCAATGTGATCAATTTTTAAATCGCTCAAATGAAAACACTGCACTTGCTGAACAGAGCAGGTGTTATTTTTCACCTAAAACAAATGTGAATTATTTAACCAACAGCATCTGAATTTATTTCTGCACTCAAGAACCAGTAAAATTGGTATTGACACAGCTGCTAAAGGGGCTTTTAGCATTTCTGATCACGTGAAACCAACCCAAGTATTTCACAAATACCCATTTTCATTGCGTTTGTTCATTTAAAACCTTCCCTCCCAGCTCATTCAAGCTATTAACAAAAGGAAAAAGAATTAATTTATATCTGCATTCTAACATAGAGGGACACCTGGAGATGTAAAGTATTATTTAAATGATCACACTGTAAAGGGATGTACTTTTAAAGCAGGCAATCTGTTGTTAGCTCAGCGTGTCACAGAACGGTAGGAAGGTGGTTAAAGCCAACAGGGCAATTCCCATTGCAGTTGGGCAGACCAGGAGCATCCAGCTGAACAGGTAAGGTGTGATAAGCAAAAGGTTACAAATCTTATGCTTCAGCACATCCTGGTGTAGCCTATTGACATTCCACATACAAACCAGACTCTCTGATCACGGCCAATTCCTACATATCTTATTCTCCTCTAACATTAAACTCTACCAAAATATTCTCTAAATCACTCACATGTACTGGATTGGGAGCAAAACCCTATTTTTATGCTCCACTGGGACAGAGAGGCTATTTTGTAGCTATACAGCAGACCAAGAGCTGAAGCATCTCCATCCCCTTTCACAAGGGGTAGTTGGTAGAAGCTGTCCACAGACACACTCCAAGCTCCAAAGATGCACATTCAGCACCAAGGGAAGGACTCCAGATGCTCTGCCCCATCTCTGACCAGCAAAGCCTCTCAGGCTTCTGCTACAGGGAAAATCCAAGACTTCTGGATATTCTGTTAAACATTTACATACTTTCCATTCATGCCAGCATTTCAGCTCTTCCCATCCTCACCACAAACCATTTCAGATGCCATTACTCGAAGGATAAATCTCGCCACACTTGGCAGTGAAACCGGAGAGGCTCAGTTTTCCACTGAGCCCCCAAAGATTGTGATTACAACAAACTTCTGGGGGATCCAACATATGCATTTCTGTAACGTGGGATCGTGACACTGCAGGAAGAATCAGCTGGTTTTGCCATCTGAGAAATAAATTCAATATCTGTAGATGCCACAAGACTAGAAATAGCAGCGAGAAACGTCTGCCTTGACCCGCTGGCCGGGTGCCAGTCTGCGTACGGTTGTTACAGATCTCTGCTAAAATACACTTCCTTTTGTTGTATTATGTTACAGCCCTGAATAGTTAATGAATATACACACACACAGAGCCTATGGATACAGGGGCTTTAACAAATGCTGCTGCTAAAATAAGCTCTTTAAAACCTCTTACGTTTACTCAACGGTTAATATGCGCGCCGCATAAAAATAGTCGCAGTCGGTCGGTCTGTCGCTCGTCTCTTTTGAGGGACAGCATTGCAAATAACAGAAGGATAAGGGTGGATACAATGCCAAAAAAAAAAAAAGAGATAGAGAGAATGCTTAGTGTATATCAAAATCTTTTAGTTTTTTGCCTGGGCACCAAGAAAAGCGCCGATAAGTCTAAGGAAAAGGGACGCATTTCAGGAGAGGCAAGACCTGTGCTCCTCACTTCCCAACACCTTGCAGAAAGGAAATCAGTGTGCTACCTGCACCACAACTACAGTACAGTGAACAAAAAAAACAAAACAAAACAAAAAAAAACCCAACATTTTCAGGCTAGCTTGGGGTGAGGAAGATGAAGAGTTGCTGCTCTTTTCGGGTTCACTGTGTCCTACCACGTTTCATGTTAGTCCCTAAAATGGGGCACCTCTCTCACAGCAAACGTTCCAGGAGAGCTGGAACTGAGTTTGATTACGTTTAGATTGGTCTTAACCAGCTCAAACATTTTTGATAAAGGGAAGTTTGTTCATGTCATGCTCAGAAGCACCTTTTTCTGTTTTCCCTTCTTTTCAACTTCCTGTTAAAATCTACTTGGAGAACCGGGAGAAGAGTGTTAAAGCGGAGGGAGTGATTTTTCAATTTTTATTTTTAAGATGATCTTTTCACAGCTCTTTTCTCACGTAACAAATATTTTTCCATGCAGCTTAAAAGGAAAGCATTCCCTTTCCTAACTACAACCAAAGACATCAGAGTGGCAGGAACTCCAGATGTCCCAAGAGTCACTTTAACATCAGATTACTCAAAAAAACCCAGGGTAACTCAGTACTTCTCTCTCTCAAAACAGCAACACAGACACACAGACACTACTGTTTGGTTTTTACAACAGATTACAAGATGTTCAGTGCACCAGAAGCTACACAGTCCCCAGCTCTGTAAATAGCATCTGTTATCCCATATCAAGGCATCAACAAGGACAACACCAGAATTTCCCAAAGGACACCAAATCTTACTTAAATGTACTCAAATTAAAAGCAAGAGTTTACGGAGAAAGCATCCGTTTCCTTCTTATCAATATTCATTAAACATTAATTAAAAATACTACCAGAAAACTTAATTTATAATTCAGAAGGCAATATTACTACAGTGGAAAGATTCACGTTACTAAGCAAAAATTCCTAGGTTAAAACATCTGGAAATGCTCCTTTCTCACTTTACACAGCACAGCTCAGACTTTTCAATTGTAAATATCTAAAAAGATTAAAGATGCAAATGAATATTTGCTTCAGCTGCTTGTTTGCATAGTCACATTTCTATTTATTACATCACAGACCATGAATACATATACTATTCTACAAGTTTTTGTAAGCTTATGAGGAAAGAAATCATACAATTTGTTCCACTAAATTGCTCAAAGACCAGAACATTTCATAAAATAGTTTAACTTCAGTGTGTTCATTCAGCTTGGAGTGAAGCAACAAAAATAAATAAATTCAAAGAAAAATAAAATAGTTCCTTGAGGGAGAATTTAAAAAACAAAAACAAAACAAGCCCCAAGCAAGAACTATTAAAAAAAAAAAAAAAAAAGGAAAGAAAATCAAAACTTTAGCACAATAACAGAAAATTTCTTCCATCCTTTACACTGGAGAACAAAGAATGAAGAGCCAAAATTACCCATATTGAAAAGGTAACTCATGACAGAAAACTATAAGGAGTCAAGCCATTTCACACGATAATGACCTAGAAATCGCTGGTTAGAAATCTAATTCAGAACAGAATTTCCACGAAAAAGCTGGAACCCAACAGTTAATGCAGGTCATAACAACTGCAGAACAGCATAAACCAACAAAAACCAGCAGCTTCCCAGAACCACTCATTTCATGACAAATTCAGTGGAATGCAGGAATAATTTCTCAAATGTGTTCCCGCTGGAGGTCCTACAGCATAATCAAACTACACAGACCCCCCCTCCCAGATCAAGGAAATCAGAGTCAAGACTGAGCTGTTTTTACTCCATTTCTCTCCTGGCAGTGCAATGGATCTGCCACTGGTTTATTTACTGCTGCCCTCCAAAAAGAGTGAGGAGTACAGAAGGAGTCATCCTCCCCTCACGTCCCCCACTCCCTTCAGCGCATCCGTGGGAATCCTTTCCAAGAACAAAACCTCTCTACTCCCCACCCAAACCCACTTCCACGCTGCAAGTGGAAGGTCAGCTGTGCCATATGAGGAACATGGAGCTACTTCCATTCCCCAGGTGCTCCTGCCTCCTCTGAAGATGCAGGACCATCAGGAATGCTGGCATATCCTTGCCAGTGGCAGCTCTTTGTTAGAGCTCTTGCCGAAAAATTCTTTCCAAATAGGCATAGAATCCTCATCAAGCTATTTTAACTCTGAAATTTCGGCCATACTGCATAAGAATTTTAATACTGGTTCTCCATCAATTCATATAGTTGAAGGTAAATGGATACAATGCTTCTAAAGTGAGCATTTTACACAAAATTTATACTCTTCTCACGTAAGCCAAACTTTACTACCCCTGTTTACCTCTGTTCTTGGTGACAATGCCTAATAATTATCTGCTCTGGATACAACACACTATAATAAATAAATAAATATACACTATAATAAATATTAATGCAAGGAAGTCACCAAATGGGGAGGTGTTGTTTTGTTGTTTGTTTTTTTTTTTTAATTAATGACCTGGTCAAAGTCACGCTATGGAGAACTCAAGTAAACTAATCCAATTTGCAAGAGTCAAATTCAAACCAGATACCAATCTGAGAATAACACTTCTTTCCCCCGCTACCATCACCAGCATAATGCAAGCATGCACTTTCTGAAAGGAATAACCAGAGGGTTGTGGGATGTATAATTCTTCTTCTAAACAAAGGAGGTCTAAGAGGAGGATTAGATGTCATGAATAAGTTAATGAGATATGGTAATGAGCGTTCTGATGAGTATTCTCACGTACAATTCATCCTCTTCAACTACCAATCTTTATTGTGAACATGGAGAAATGCAAACCTGTCTACAAGATCTGCG